TCTTCGTAATGCTGTAGTGTAGGAGCGAATCGCCATATTGGATTTCAGCCCCATGCGGAGACCCGATCTAGCCCTCCCCAGAAAAATCCTGCGTACGCCACTGGCAGCCGGTCCTTTAGTCCTTCAGCTCTGAGAATTGGCGAACGAATAATTGAGAGCAGAATCCCTTGATCGCGTCCGTCGCTTCTGCGGACCAGGATATGAAGGCCTCCAATTGTATTCAGATTCTCCCATTTCCTCGTATCTCGCGATCTTCCTTGAGCGAATTTTCCGTTTTGCACTTGGCTCAAGTTCGGAGGTCACCAAGCGAATTCGTGGGCACGATCGTCCTGATATAGAGGATGACCCCTCGGCTGCTCAAGGAAGTGTTCCTGCCCTTGTCCCCTCTCTCTATGCCGATTTTCTGATGCTGACACTTCATGCCTCGTTGGTCATCTACCGCCACTCTATTATTAGAAATCCCGAAATTCGCACGTTTCGCTCCTCTGACACGCAAAGGAACGACGCCATATTCGGAGCCGGACTTCGCCTGCGTCAGACGTGGGCTGATTGTGAGAGCGGTGTCGAAAGCTAAAGAGCAGCCGAAGTAACGAGGGAAAATGGAATTCAGAAAGACGGTATTTATTAATGAATTCCGAGTCGTTTAGAGTCGAGACCTAGGTGGTCTCGTCGAGATTCACCGCTCCCCTACTGCTTCGAGGAATTACCATGGCCCTGATCACGAAGTGTCGTTTGACTACACTCTAGATTGGCTCCGGAGCGTTCTCATGTCGGAGAAATTACGCCGCTGGCGAGATTGTCCCGAGAATGGAATAAGTTACAACGAAAGGACGGACAACCTGGATCAAGAATGGACAGTCCCGATGAATACGCAGTGGAATTATTGATTACAAAGGATGGGCTGAGTCTGGTCCCCTGGAGCCGAGCGCTGCCAGTGAAAATCTATGCAATATTGGAAGAGTTCACGTATGCCACCGAGAGCGGAGAGGCTCTATTCGAACTCCGGTCGTTGTAATATACGAGGATTAATCTTCTGAAAGTATAATCTCGGTGGAATCCCGAGTCTAGACGACTAGAAGTTTGAGCCTAGACCGCGTCGACTCACGGCTCGAATACTTCGCGCCTCTCTGTGGAAGGCTGTATTCCATTCGGAAATGCTTCTCCTCATCACCCGATTATATCCGTCGGCACCTGTTCCTTCGGATCAACCACAAGTGAGGAATCGATCCTGAGCCCATTGCTGGGACGGCAAGACTGATTCGAAAGAGTCAGCCCTCGACTTTCTTCCAGCTTCCAGGTCTTGGAAGTGACGGGATCCGGGGCTCAAGTCGGGCAATTGGTCACCGACTTCTCAGCTCTAGTGGTACTAGGGGCGATCAAGACAGTAGTGATCTTCGACGGAGAACTGAAAATTAGGGACCAGCATTCATAACGTAATAAAATGAGAACTTTTGCGATTCGGGTTCAGCCATTCGGCTACCTCGTAGGTTGGGCCGCCGGCCGCCTAATGAAGAGTTCCCCGGTTTCATGAACTTCCTACAATTCAATGAATGACACACCGAACACTCCGACGGTCGAAATCGGGGATTTTTCCCCGATGAAACCTCTACGCATCAATCGGTATTTCCGTGGTCCACAATTCAGTGGAACGAGGTGTTCCATGCCATAACGGCAGGGAACTTCCACTTTTCGAACGAAAGAGGCTCTTTGCGAGTAATGACCGTACGAACGACATCTATAGGCATCGACGATACGGTGTTAGCCGACTCGAGCATGGATGAGATGCGTAAATGCGAAATGCGTAATGATCCTCTCGACGCTCCCCGGTAGGGCTCAGGTCTGTGGAAGCTCTCTGGATCGCTGAGAGGCTCTGTTGAAGAGATAGCCCCTTGCTTTCAAGGGGGAAACTGCGTGCCAGCACAGCTTTGTCGGAATGTTTAGACGGTTCCCCATGAGGAAATATCGCCTCGTGGGGATCGGCATCGCGAATAAGTAGAGACGAACGGTTTGACGAGCTACCTCCCCCGAATTCCACAAGCTGTCTCGGAGGTCATCTCATTGTTCAACAACTACAGCTCCTTCTCTGTGTTAAGGCTTTATAGCTGCAATCGTCTCACGACAGATAATTTGCGTATCGTGACGCTCTCAATGGGAAGCAAGGACACGGACTTTCCAACGAGAGCCCTTAAGGTAGTTCCCCCTTTCGGGAGAAATTGGAGACGGGTTTTCACGAACTATCGAAGCTCCACGATGTCCCGGACCCAATGCAACGATACTCCATCGCCGACTTCCAAGTCAGCGGCTCAGCTAAACCAGGAGCCGGCTTGAGGGAAACCGCCCCCCTCGAACCCTTCACACCTTCGTGAGTTGGAGGGCGATCTCCCTGGAGGGACGTTTGAGACTTCTTTGTGTATGACGAATGCGGGTGCCGGTGCGTGTGGGGATGAGGATCTCGAGGTCTGAGATCTACAGATCTTCCATCGATTGACTCCCGACCGCCATGGAGAGCCGATGTCTGATTCGCGAATGGGGGCCGAGCAGAAAATTTGAGGAATTCCTCTCGTGACCTTATCGCTCGTGGAGGAAACCCTCGGGGAGAGAATGCCTCCCATACGGCGCTAATTTCACTCCATCCAACTTTTCCACGAGGGGGCTCCGGTCATGACAGATTTCTCCCTGATAGCGATGAACTGACGACTGGAGCTTCAAAGTTTCGCGAATGCGCCACGTGAGACTCGCTCTCGGGGATTGAGGGACTCTAGTGATTTCGGAAGCCCTCGAGAACGCTCATCCATATATGTAGAACCTCCCGGAGAGCGCAAGCCGGTATACAGTCGAGTCTCTCCGAACGAGAGAGCTCTCGGGCATCGGTAACTTCCTCCTGTGTCCGGTTCTCTCATAGGTATGACCAGTTTTCTCCAAAGGAAGCCCGATGAGCGGGTCCGGCTGTCGCGCTGGTCACCGATGAATCAATGCCGATGCGTAACAGAAATTAAAAAAAAGAACTCGGCGAAATACCTTCAGTCGGCTAGTCGTATTCATCCGCCTCTTCGGCAGAGCCCGAAAAAAAATTACACAATGCCCCGGCGAAAGAAGAAACGAATAGCAGTGGGAGCAAAGAAATTTTATTCTGATGTTGACTGACATTATCTAAGAGTGATTTGGATTCTTCAAGAGTAGAACGTTCGAGTCTACTCGCTCTACGACTAAATGCCGGTGGATCCGCTACTGTGTATAGTTCGTTCCTTTTTCAATCCAGGCACCTTGCACTGATTTCTTCAGCGTATATTCTAAGTTTCTTTAGTTTCGCGAAGAGTGCTTCTAAACATCAGGCTTCCATTTCAAGTCAGTGCAAGTATGCCGAGTGTGACAGATCGCCCAATACTCGCTCCGGGCTAAACTCCGAATCGTGCCGGTCTGATTTGCATCGATAGCTGGGTCGAAGAATGTGGTCTGCCATATCATTTTCATTTTTTATGCCTCGAAGACAGCTCCAGTCCTTTTTGGAGCCTTCTCCCAAGATCGCTCTCCGTTGAAGCATGGAGGGAAGACGGATTTAGGTTGCTTTCACCTATCCAACAGGTGTTTCGCTCCTCACGATCTGCACGTCGCTGGATGCTTGAATGATAGTGGTTCGGAAAGAATCATTTTCTCCTACCCATCCTCATTTTCATAGGTGTGTGGCTTCTCCGCAATGTTCGATTTCGGAAGAGTTCACCGAATGACCAATCAATGATTGAATGCGTAGATTCCGCGTCGAACGCAAAGCCAGCCGGTCCGCCGATCGATCGGTCCGGGGGCGTCGAGTATTTACCTACTCCATTTCTTCGGGCCAATCTCTGCCGAACGTCTGCACTGGGGAACCGGCGGCGACAGATGCGTATTTGCTGTTGACGTTTCCCCGCTCAGAACTTATACACAGCAACTAATTCCGAAACTGAAGGTGCAAGCGAGGCAAGGAGTCTTTTATTGATGCTCTGAATCGACGACGGACGAGGAGTGGTTCGCTCTCGTCGGCATTAGGACGCTGATGATCATTAGAACATGCAGCGGTCTGCAATGATGCTACCTCGAAGCGCGGATATCCATCCGAAGTGAACGAGAATCACGAGAGGGATGAAGTTAGAAAACGTTGGAAATCTCGACGAGACGGCCGCTTTTTCGGCGGATTCAGTCCCTGGAACGCAACGAATCCATCAGCTCTCCCTCTTGGCGACCACGGAACTCCGGAGGCTCTCCCGGGAGATGAATTTCATGCGGTGTATCCCCATTGGTAAGCTCGGCCGAGTCTGGCGAGCTCGCGTGACATGGCCGCCCAGAGTCAAGTCGGGATTCCTGATCGGTTCCAGAGTCTCGTGTCGGGAACAAGAGAGAAACCAGGCTGCCCCTCTGTATCAAATACTCACCTCGACTTTCAACAGAAAAACGGTACGCGTACTCTCCTTAGATTTTTTTTGTTGTTTCTACTGCTTTTGATGTATCGACCGCCTCCTCCCGCTGCCGCTGCTGGACAAGCTCCTGACCCTCGACTATTCCCATGATGCCGGGTGATCAGTCGTTTCGTTCCAAGCCTTTGAGACCGCTCGGAGCTCCGTATTCGTAGGCTCCGTAGCTGTTGTGAAGTCCGTCGGCTGGAGCGAGTTCCAGGACCTAGGAAGATAATTATCATTCATCTTGGGAAGAGGCACGGCAGGAGCTCAGGAGAGACAGCGCTCGGTGGGGGGTCTCCGATCTCTCCTACAGTCGCCGTGTGATACAATGTCTATCGATTCTTCTCGCCTATCTCGGACGCAAACACAGAGCTGTCGAGACCTCTGAGTCCGGCGCCGGAGTTCCGCCTGACTTGTTCGTTGAACGGGCTCGATTGCTCACAAGCTGAGTCGCTAATTTATTGTGCGCACAAAAGGAAAACGCGAGCCGCTCGGGAACTCCTTGATGGTCGCAACTGGTCAGACTGACAAGGAACCATTCCGAGATGCGACAATAGTCCCCAGAAGAAAAAAGACAGTCTGTCCGACCGCTTCTCCCTTCCAAAGCCGGGCGTACATACGACGAAACTTCGTGGTAGGCAACGAGTCTCGTTCTGAGTCATTCTGTTCCTTATTTTCTCCCATTCGATTTCTATCCAATTCATGTCGAGGGTACGGTTGATGGGAATTCCTCGGCAAAGGGTCAGGCTCTGTTCGGCGGGCATTCGGGATCGTCAAATATTTATCTGTCAATACTTACAGCTTTAATCAGCTCTCTGATCTGCTCACGACGGCCGGGATCGGCCCGGGTCGGCATGTAGCGAGCCTCCGCCGATTCCAGCGTGAAACTCAAGAAAATGAGACCCACCAGCACGAGGCCGCAGACGAATCGCACGTTTGCCATGGACATTTTATTCTCTGAAATCAGAAGAAGAAGACTGCTTAGGCTGTCTTTCTCGACGGCGTTCGGACGCCTTCCATCATCCATTGATAGTAGTATACTTCCCGGCAGTGACACAAATATCAGAGAAGTTGGACGGAAGTCATTGGGATCCGGACGTAGCAGTGTCACGCTGTTAGGCACAGTCGTCAAGACCAGAATAAACAAGCCAGTCACTCATTGTTAGGTCTGCAGATTCTTCTGCTACTACAAGCTGGTCTCGAGTTCGGGCCTGACAATTGTTCCCCGCTCTTGGACTCTGGCCAATGTCTTACAAGCTCGAGCGCGGCCGGTCGACGCAACAGAACGACCTCGCCCTAAGTAAGTACTGGAGAAAAGAGATAAAGGAATCTCTGAATGATCGCGGTCGTGAATATTGTTCCGTTGACGGGATACGTCGAGATCGGACGGCTTCAGAGTTTTCAGCTCGAATCCTCTTTTGACTCCCCGGGATGAAAAGATGACGGAATGGTTGATCCCGACGAGGCGCACAAAACATCGACAAGCGGTTCAAGCCCATCGTGGATGACGTCGAAGTTTTTGGCCACGAGCCAATCCGGCTTCAGTTACCACTGGATGAAAAGCCTAACGGGACAAGCTTGAACAAAGTATTGCTCGGAGTGTTTGACGAGCGAGTTTTCAATATATACTTCGAAACTGAATCGCCTCATGAGATCTTCCATCAGAGCACTCGGCGGGAGATTGGACCTTCTAGAAGAGCGGAACCTTGAAAGGTCCGCAGCCGGCTAAAGGGGCGCCGCGAGCGTAATCGTTATCTCTTCGGAGGTTTTGTGGAATCGGGAGATCCGTTTACATTGAGCGACAGTCCTTCCTGCCGGCGGGAGCACTCGAGCGTCCGGGCAGCTCGGTTTCGCTTCGTATGTGGGTGCTCTTGAGTAAGCAGTTTTAAGTCAGTTGCACAAGGTGTGAATGCAGTCGGGAGGTGCGGGAATACGTGAGTGCGTTTTTACTCCGTCTTGACTCGATGACGATGTCACTCGTATGAGGGTCTGTACATGCCGCGCGTGCGGCTCACAAACACGGGTGCGCATCTCTTCTCTCCGCACAGCATGTTGTCGGAGCAGTGCCATGTACACTCCAAGAAAGCGCCGGCGTCTCAGGGTCCGTTTCCTGCTTGCCAGACAGACAGCGAGCCAGAGCGCCTCGCGAAATCAGTCTTTGGGAAACTTTTCAGCTGTGTTTGATCAGAACGGAGCCAATTTTTGAGCGCTCCGCAAACAACAAAACCTCCGAAGAGCAAGCCACAAAACGAAAGTCCGCCGGATGCCCATCGAGTTGACAACGAGAGGCATACGGGACGGACGACTGAACAGCTCAATCGAAAAAGTGGGTTGAGAGAGAGGAGATTTTTCCATCGTTCAAACTCCACCTCCTGTCGGCTCTGTCTGGAAATTCCCCTGAGTTGTCCCGGTGTCTGTGGCACGGACGGATGGCGGAGCGAAACGAATGAATCATACGTTTGTGGCATCGATCGGGATCAGACTCCCACCAGAGATATGCAGCTCCGGCTCTGTGTCATGGATCGGTCCTGGGTTTGCACAGGCAGTGGGCCTGCGGGGCGGCGCTGCAAAAATCGCCGATGCATGCGAAACACGCAGTCCACCACCCCGCTGATTGCAACATCAGCTACCACAACAATGTTCATGACGCCGACGCATTTTGCGTGCATTCGTGGTTACGCTCCGTAGACGCTCGATCATCATCGGTCTTTGCTTCGTGGAGCGAGATTCATTGAGGAAACTCCGGTAATGGGGACTCAAACTTTTCGAGGGGAGCTCAAGCTCATTGTGTTGCAGTTGGGTGAACCTGATTCCGATGTTGGGATAGCGGCACTTTCCGCGCGTTGGATTCTCTCCGGTGAGGAACTCCGCTGATCTCACGCTTGTTTCGATTTGCGGAAAAAAAATTGAGATTCACAGCCGTGAGCTGCGTCAGGGAACTATCGCGGGATCGCACGGCGGCTCACAATGATGTCAGTCGAGCAGCCCTTCTGTCCTTCGGTAACTTCGCTTGAGCCATTTTCTGCTCTCACTCCAGCCGAAGTCCGAGGCGTTCCCGAGCTCGGAAGTGAGGAAAGGGGAACGCCACCGAATTCGGGTCTCTGACCCCCAAGAGTCCTTCGCAGGGTTCCTTCCCGTGAGCGATTCAATTCGTAGCTCCCGAGCGAGTGGCTTCGAGCAAACCTCAATCCTCAAAGTGAGGATGGCGCCAGAGAGTTCGACGCTGAACTCGATTCCTTTGGCTGCCTCGGCGAACAACAGGTAAGGGGATTGCTAAACCAGTCGGGCTTTTTCTTTTTGTCGAGTTCCGATGCGCAAACTGTTCGAAGGATTTTTTCCAGGGCTCGAATCATGGCATCTGTATTGACGAACGCCAGTCGAAACCCATTTGCTCGTCTCGAGCCCGTCGATCGGTCTTCGTCCGCCGGAAAGCACCGGTCAGGGAGCTTTCCTCGCGATGTAATTCGGCTATGCAGTAATTAAGCAAACCCGTTCATCAGTTGTTCCCACAGAAGCTCCCTTTCGGTGGCGATTATGCGCTTTCATCGAAGATTCTCAATTATGAGCCGCATGTTTCCGCTTACTCAAAGTGTAACAGCAGCATTCGCTCCCAGCGAAGGACAACAAGCCGCAGAAATCTAGCGACGGGCTGTTTACTGTGTTCCTTAGGGAGTTCGCTGAGATGATCGTCTTTCTTCGCAGCACTCGGTCTCGGCGGTCCGCTGTTCTTAATTTGTAATTGCGTTGTCTTGGCTCGAGTGCCGCACCCTTCGGGCGTTGCAGTGTCATACGGAGCGGCGTATCTGGAGACAAGTATATTTGTTCAACTAAACGATCCGCTGTCTCGCTTGTTTCGAGGACGAGTGGCCGTATCGAGAGCCCGACGGTGCCGCTGGTGGCGTGGGTTTTCTTGCAGCGGATAGCTCCGCTCGCGTACACACGAAGCGGCTTTTCTTATGATGCGTTCCCGTAGTGCCTTGGACGACCACTCGGGACGCGCGAGGAGTTCGCGAGGAAATAAGTGAGCCTCCTTCCGAGTCTTTCTTTGTCACGGCCGTTTGAACCATTTAAAGGGTGCTTCACGGACGCTTTCTGTCGTACGATGGCTTTCTGCTGATGCATAATTCAACAGGCAGCAACACGTATGAGAGCTGCCTGCGCTGTCACGGACAAGTTTGCTCACTGAATTCCGACAACGTCGCCGCCCGCTTTAGGCAACTGCGCTCGCGGAGAAATGAAGAGACTCGCTGCGCTTCGGAATCGCGCGCTCAATGAGGCGGCTCCTCGTCAGCCGCCTCGGGCCACTCGACTGACTCCAGCTGAGGTTTCGAGCAATTAGGGATCGGTTAAGAGATTTGGTTAAAAAGTCCGAAATGGGCCGCATGACGCTGAAGTTTCGGCGAGCGCGCCCGCTCTCTCGCTATTCCTCTGTGGGGTTCCGCGCCGCCGCCGCCGCCGGCCTTCGCCTCGACCGTTCTCTCAATTGCTCTTCCGGTGCGAACGGCTTAGCGTCGTTGTTGAGAACGACGTCGGAGTTGTTCAAAGGCGGAAGGCATTCCGCCCTGGGCGTTCTGAGAACGCTTCTTCAAAGCAGCAACAAGCTGACGACTTGTGCGTCCGGCTCGACCCGAGTCCAACGCGGAATGCTCCGATTGCGTGGTTGAATTTTCGGTGGGAGCGTATACGATAAGGGGCCTCACGCTAGTTGAGCGATGCGCAGATCTGGCGATTTTCATTTCCTCCGGCCCCGGGAAAAACGTAGCTATCTCGCAGGGTCGACCCAAAGACATATCTCCCGATAGTTTCATCAGGCTCAATGACTGCGATCCGCGTTCCGAGCGAATTCTACGGGAAACAGCGGAAGTTCAGCTCGCGTGGTGCCTGAGTCTCGAAAACAAGAAGAGGCTTCCCCTTCGAGGGCAATCCGAATCTAGGGCTCGGACTCCGAGAGCTATCCGGCGTATGAGGGTCTGAAGGCCCGAGATGTTTGGGATTTGCAACGGAAACCGCCTTTTTGTCAACTCAAATCGAGACTCGCTGGAACTCCCTTCACCGCAGACTTCTCGGAGTAGACAAGAACTACTCTTCCATTCTCGCCCAAAACTGCAACCCCGTCAAAGCCCAGATGGTCGGGGTAAAAAATTCAGCGGGATCTCTCGAGAGAGAGAACTTGTCCTACGACAAGCATACTTAGCAAGTCGCTCTGCTTTCTGGGTTTCGATGCTGCTGATTTCATTTTCTGACAGTCTCTGGCCCTCTCCCGGAGACCGGACAGAGCGAGTCCCACGCCGGGCAGGGGAGGCTCTGGGGGACAAAGCGTCGCCGGGGAGACAAGACCGGCTGAGGGAGGACCTTCGGAGACTAAGATTGGAGGACGGCGGGGAAACGCTCCGCGAGCTATCAATGGATCGGGCAAACCAATTTATTTATGAGGTTCGTCTTGTCGTCCAAATAAGCGTGCGATGATTCGATATTCATGACCTGGACCAAATTATACATCTCGATGCTAAAATCGCTCCGCAGAGTGGACGTCACGCTGGCCCAAGACGACCAGTTCCTCCCGAAAGGGCGGGAGCTTCTCGAGTATTCGATGTGGATTTGGCTCGAGCGGGCCGTCCGGATTTTCGTCAGGCGAACTTGTCCGAGGAACCTCTCTGCGTCCGGGTCCGGATTGATGGAAACCGCGAATTGGTGGAAATAGGAAATATTCGGATGTCCTCTCGGCCTACGGATGCCTTTTGAGGCCTTTGGGAAAACGGAGGAAGAAGGAGACGTGAACTCGTTTCGACTTAAACGGCGAGGCTTCCCTCTCGATTCGAGCGATCCGGCTGCTTGCGTGCTGAACGTTAGTCAGAGAGTGGGAGCTACACCCTACAAGTGTTCCCGAGACGCAAAGTGGCTCCCAAATCTATGTCCGCGACGAACGGTGTTTGAACGAGGCCCGGCTAAAAGCCACA